TAAGCAATCGGTGCTACCCAAAGTCACCGGAAACACTAGAGTTACAGGTGTGTTGCCGGCCTTTTAGGGGTTAGGAATCTGAGGACTGTTGGGGATTCGGCGATTAGGATGGAGGGTAATAGGGTCTGCGTTAATTTCATTTACACGACGAAACAAACCGCAAAGAAGGTAATAATCTTGTCCTATAACTTTCTAAAACCACAATGTGAATATATTTTTCGTAGGGAACTAATTGCCTTTAATGAAAATAAAAATAACTAACACTTTTCGATAATCAACTAATTAAGTATTCCCTTTTAAAAATCCCTTTTAATTATAAAGGTATTCCTCTTTCAAAGGCTGACCTGTTCACTCACCCGTCATCGTTTTGACCTTGTTTAAGGGTAAACCCTAAAGAGTCTGTTTAACCTTGACCTGCAAAACTGTAAATAAACCTTTCAGGGTAAAAATATATCTTTCAGCGTTGCGGTTACGGGAAATATATTAACTATTGGACATATTGGGGACAATGACCTTGAACCTTTAGAAATAGACCTTATTTAGCAAATATATCAAATGAAGGGTACTAGGGAACTATATTGTGTTGAAATAAGAGCTGATTTTAAAATGACCAATGATTTTTTAAACATTGCCCACACAAGGATTTCCTTCTGTATCGTGGATACGTTTACAAACATACAATTATTACACACACACATGACACCTGGACCCGGAACAAATATTTATGGGATCACACTAAGAGTTGCTCCGTGTGGGAATCGCACCCAATTACCCTTTGTATGGCAGCCAATTGCCCAGACGCTGCGCCAACCTTGCAGTCAATAGACAGATAGACTATCTAAAGACCGTGTTGAAAAAGAAAGGAGGTTGTGATAGAAAGAAAACTGATGGACAAGACAACTGATTGTACCATCAGTAAGAGTCTGACACTCCCTTCCGCCTCACCCAGGTGGGAGCAGATATTCGATGATTTTCCCCCTTAAAAAAAATTGTACCAACATCAAGTTGTTTGGGGAAAGGCAAGAAGACAAAATGGGTGTATCGGTCTATCCCTTATTACTATTGAAAAAGATTATTACCTAATTTGTAGCCTAATATTACTTAGTTATTATTCGAATCTAATAACTCTATCTAATAAATGAAAAAAGCAAATTTCTTTAACTTTCTAGTCTAGTAAATACATTCAAAACACAATACAATTAATATCAAATAATTTTCTGAAAGAAAGAACAAAGTACTAAAGCACTTTAAAAATGTTCGTCGAATACTTTTTAAAGTTTCTACAAATGGACGTAAGTCTATTAAGTAACAAAAGTATGTCGCGTAATAGACTTACAACATCCATTGTTGAAATTTTGAGCTAAAAATTCACGAAAACGTTTTCGACCCATACAGGCAGCGTAAGCTAATTTTGAGCTACATTTTTGGTAACGCTTTGTTACAGAAGAATTTCTAAAAGGTACCTATTTTTGTTATAAAGCTTTTGAAATTTTGTTTCAGTTTTCAGTCAAGCGTAAAGTCCATAGCTCACCTAACAAGGCGTTTTTTTGCTTATAAAACAATACAAAGAGGTTGTATTGCGCGGGCGGTGCGCTTACAGCATTTTTATATTGACGTTGTGAAAAGTATGTCATACGATATACGATTTAAAGTTCATATTTAAATAATATGATATTGCTGGGTTGAAACTGTGTTGGGGCCGAGCTTGTTAGGTATACGATGACGTTTACACTAAACATGAATGCATGTAACATACGGTTACGCATCGAACTAATATTCCAGTTTATCTTGGTCTCACTTAATATGATATTTTCGTACGTTCAACGGTCAGTTTACACTGGTTTATTACAGTTTGAAATGTGTATGTACACACAAGTTGCGATAGTGTGTGTAGTGTATATAGAACATGTTTCGACAACTTCATATGAATGTTATTACAGTTCTCTGACACTGCGGAAGTTGTTATGTTTATAATTTATTCCTGTAAAGTCCCGTTACAGTTTTCTGTTAGCTCAGCTACGCAGCAACAAAATGAAATATAAAGCTATGTATGTACTTTTCCGATCATATATACAGGTACGTTTTAACGTAAAGCCACTGTATAAAGAAGGTACACCGTGGCCTTATGTCTCGATCTTCAAAATAAGTATAAAAAAGATTGATTGATATTAACAACCACGACAGTCAATGTCAGGACGTGGGAGTAAACGATCTTAGCATTTAAAAACAAATGAAAATGATAAACTGGATAAAATGTTGACATCACACAATATAAATCACGACGTCATCATTTACATACATGCGTCCTGGTAGCAGCTGTGGTAGGCAGCCATACTCCTGTGGCGGTGGCGATGACGTCACATACAATGCGGTTCCTCTTGTCCCAGAGTGTTTGATCTAGTCACATTTCACATTCAAGTCACATCATTTCTTGCCCGCTTTTCTCCGACTTGATTTACATATACTTACGATATTGTTCAAAGAATTTTTTGTTCAATTATAATAAAATATAACTTCTGTCTCTAAGGAATAGTGAAGCTGACTATTCTGAAAAAAAGACATGATCGTGGTTGGATCAATATTGTCGAAGTTTCTCTATAAGGTTTAATACAAACTAACAAAGTTAGAAACTTCCTTATCTGTGATAATAATATTAATTGTAAAAACATATTTATATTGATATATCATTATATCTAAGACATAAGTGCCTACCAGATTTTATCCTGACTGGCTGGTCTTGCATGCCATCAAGTTTCTCTGTCATTTATTAATCAAATTCGAAATTCTTAGGGTCATAGTAACTAGTTAGCTGCCAACACCTCTTATTGTGGCCACTTCAGGTCACCCCATTTTATGTGACGCTTAGGCAAATCTGGACCGCAAGATCTAACCGTCTTGTTTCCTCTTGCCGTCTTGCAGTTATTAGTAGAAGTTGCGCCTAGACACTTCTCGTCAGACATCCGGGAAACATGACCGGTTCGTTGCCTGGTACCATATCAGATGGACCTCGATTCCACCAACAATAGCTCGTCGCAGAATTTCCGTAGTACGAACATGGTCCGTCCAGGTTATATTCAGAATGTTACTAAGATGGAATCGATTCAATGTGCGCATTTGCTTGGGGAAATTGTCACCACGTGTCGGAGGCAAACGGCACATTTGGTACACAACTATTATAGCTATATTGTACATAGCTACATTGAAAAGTTTTATACCGTTTCCAGCGTTACGTTCACGTGGCTTATGCCACGTGACCGGAAAACATTGGTGCAAACTCCATCAAAAACCTTAAAGTTTTTAACATGATTTAAAAGCCCTTCTATTAAGACCATCCAGTTTCGTCAAGGAAAAAACAGTAAACAGAAAATAAATAGTAGCAAGCATCGGTTACACTGAAACAAACATAAAAATTTTTTTAGACGATTATTTTCCAAATTGCAAAGAACTTTCTAGTTACTTTGAACTAAAGAATCATTTCGTTTCTTCGTATATTCCAAATTAAGTTTAACGGATCATGAATAATAATTTCTACTTGTTTGTAAGATTGTTCTATAAAAATTAAATAAGTTTTTATCTGTCTATCCTATCTATGAAGAAAAATATGATTACGTGGAATCAATTTTTGGACTTATTAATTTTTTCGAGTGTGTACTAATCGTGCCTACCAACTATTTTGACTAAAAGAAGCATTGTTTTCAGAGCTGCAGAAAAATATATTCAATATATTATTTCGTTCTGATCAATCAAGAGGTGTGGCATAGTAAGATCATTATATTTATATTTTTAAATAGGCACTTTTCGAGTTGTCTATCGGGTCTTTTTACATTGCTTCAAATGTTGCTACTGGCATTTTCCATGGCCAACAAATATACCACATACTTCCATACTAACCTCTTGACTTCTGCAATGTTATTATTAATATGAGTACGTACTCTATCTCTATGTACATTTAAATCTACATCAGGTAACGCGTCTTGCACGCGCTATATATTACCGTAACAATATCATGAAGACGGTATTTATTTATGTAAGCCATGACAACAAAACAAACAAACATTCACATTTGTAAATGGACAGAGATGGAGGCTAGTGTTTACATTAATTAAAGATAATAGTATAATAATATCATCAACAGCCTATAAATGCCCACTGCTGAGCAAAGCCTCTTTTCATATGGAGAGGTTTGAACATTAATCACCACGTTTGCTTATTGCGGGTTGGCGATTTCAAACTTATAATTACAAATTTTATGTCCAGGTTTTCTCACGCCGTTTTCTTCACCGCTTATCAATGATGTTTAAATATCTTACATATAATTTGGAATAAGTCACAGTGGTACTTGCCGTTGGTAGGTTTCAAATCCGCTTTCTCATGCATGAGAAGCGTGCATCTTAACCTCCGGGCCACCACGACGTTTTTTTGTTAGGTATATAATAATATCATGTATGTACAAAGCCTAAGTAAAATCTGTGTCGACGGCTGTTTACTAGCTCCTCAAGAAAAAATATACAGTAGGATTTGAATAGCGCTACACATCAACTACCTGCGATAGTCCAGTGTGACTGGGATGTGGTGGTGTGAGTGTATGTTTCCCTCTACACAAAAGGAGTTTGATAATCTCCACGCTGGGACAGACAGTTCAGAGATCACAGTTTAGAAGTTTACGACCATGGTTAGGCATAACGCAACGCTTGACTCCTCTGGTGTATCGGATGGCCATGGGTGGCGCTAGCGGCTTACTGTCAGACGTGTGCCCGTTTCACGTCCCAGCGCTAAAATAAGGTTCAGGTTTATCAAAGAGAATATATGTTTTCCGTAACAACATATCTGTTAACTACATTTTTGGTAAATAAATTATTTCTGATTTTTGATAAAGTTACACTCCCTTACTCAACCTATCCTGCTAACTCCTTTTTTTAACCTGCTTACTCCTACGGTACGCACGGTAAGACTAGGCATATGGTTCAACAAATTGTAAGCTACGCTTTATTTTTGGGTAGGAAAAATGACACCGTCACTGTGGTGACGACTGTAGATCTGTACCGTGTGCGGTACAGATCTGAACAACGCGAAAACTCCCGAGTTAACATGTTATCCCGGACAGCCAACGCCCTACGCTCACGTTCAATACAGTCCTTGTTCTTCAGGTCATCAGAGATGCCCTAGATAAAATTTGATCCCTCTAGTAAGAGGAAGACCATTTAGATAAACACCTAGTTGGATGTTTATGCAAGGTTTAAAGAAAAAATAAAGATGTTTTTATAGAGACATTTGAGTTTCTTTGAAAATGTACCAGCATTGTAAAATAGCATAGAATAACAAGAAAATAAATGTGTAGTGGCTTTGTTGTACAAAAATAAATACGTCATACTACTTATGAATTTTATATTATAACAAGCCCTGTTTAAAAGTCGGTAGTTATAAATTCTGATATGAAATGTAAAATGTATAATTATCGAATTATTTCATCGGTCGAGTGTTCGCAAGTGCAACTGCCTAGTCGGAGATCTCTGATTCGGTATCCGAATTGGTCGCAAAACATGACTGGTGATAAGTGAATATGAGATACTTTCTTTTTCAGGTATGAAAATATGTGACGTTGTGTAATAAATCGTGCAAAAGAACTTTTGTGAAACAAAGTAAAAGGAAAGGTTTTTGAACGGCCTTTTGGAAATATGTCATAATATGAAGCTACTATCAAGGGTTGGACGTCTGCCGGGCGCGGTAGTCACTTAATAATTCCTTTTGTAGTAACTGGAACACGACCTGTGAATGAAAAATAACTTTTTAAACGTTGTCATACGAAATATTTTTGTCAGAACTATTAAAAGACTATTTCAATTTGATTTCATAGTTATGTTTGATGGAACAACTATTGCTAGTAGTATTATTTCCCATAGACTTTAGTCAATAAAATTACGATAAGCTGAATTATTTAATAAAAATATATTTTTTGGTAATGGTGAAGTGACGTGTATTCTATTCTATACAATGAATATGCACTCTCTGTCTTCCTCTTCGGGCATTAAAAGCGCAATGTTATCTTATAAACGAAAATTATACCATTCAACATAAATAAAATGTAGTTACTAAATATCTTTAAGATAAGTTAAACTTTTAGTTTAACTGCGACTACCGGGCAAGGGGCTCGGGTTCGATTCCCGGGTCGGGCAAAGTATTACTGAGTTTATTCAAAAGATCTCAGTAGTAGCACGGAGTCTAGGATTGTGCCCGGTATATGGCAATAGGCTCACCCCCTATTACATGGGACCCATAACATAAATAGTGAAAAGTGGGTGTTACATTGTACAGTGGCATAATGTGCACCTCTGCCTACGGCGTGATGTTATGTTATGTAAATAAATAATAATTAGAAAGTGAGTGTTTGATATTTCAAGCTTTAAGTTTACTGTATATTTACAGTACAGTAAAGAGGGACCGTAAAGGATGTGATGGGAAATGACACATCACCACCAAATCACCTGAAGCTGAAGTCAAACACTAGCGTCAGTAATGGTTAACTTCATCAAATTATATATAATATAATGTATAGTTATACATTATACATCTTAATATTTTATGGAATTCTGAGGGTCTGCCGACCCTTCCAAAAATACGGATAAACTCTAGTAAAAGTCCTGTCTAGGCTCCATAGTGCAATGAGTTGACATACAAGGGGAACGCACCGACCCTAGTTCTCTCGCGGTAACGAAACCATAGCGCGATTCAGAAAACTGATGGAACTGTACAACGCCATCTATCGAGCTACGAGGCGTTAAATGCGCCCTGAGTATTTTAGTGGAATTTATCGAATGTAGTCAAATAATGTTATTTTCACCCCCTATTATATGAGACTCATAACATAAATAAAAGACGGGGATAAAAGGCGTGGTTTTGGGTTATGTATAAGTCAAATTATGGTTATCCATACTCTAGATTTCCTGTATTCTTCCTACTCTAGGGAGCATGTATAGTGGTAATTTCCAGTTACACAAATTCATACAACTTTTAAAGATATTAAAAATTGTAACTGAAATCGTTCCTTGGAAGGTACCGAAAAGTACCTGAATCTAGTTAGGGCAGGTCAGTATCCAACCCAAATTAGCTGAAGTGGATTTTAGTTACAACGTTAGTTCAACGACATACCTCTATAAATGATTTTCAACGGTTCTTGTTTTATATAACATGTTTAAAATCTATTAACACGTTGAACGCCATGGTGGTCACCGGTGACCGGCGTTAGCGGAGGATTTACCTTCAACAGTTTTTTAATTAGCAGTCAAAGTCTTAAATATAACTGAGTTTTATACTGCGTTATACCACTATCTTTATTGTCACGGGTACTGTTTCCGACTCTCGCAATGATTATTTGTGTCGTGGTGGCCCGGAGGTTGAAGACGCTAGCTTCTCATGCACGAGGGTGCGAGTTCGAAACCTACCAACGGCAAGTACCAACTTGACTTTTTCCGAGTTATATGTACTTTCTAAGATTATTTGACACCACTGACCAACAGTGAAGGAATATCATCACAGTGATCGTGATGATCATCGTAAGGAAACCTGGGCTTATAATTTCTAAATTATAAGTTTGTAATCGCCAACCCGCATTGAGCAAGCGTGGTGATTAATGCTCTAACCTTCTCCATGTAAGAAGAGGCTTTCCTCAGCAGTGGGCATTTAGAGGTATAAGCCGTTGATGATGAATGATTATTTACTTTTTTTTGATAATAACCTTTACATGACGGTACCGAGCATAACAAAACGAAAATTGAAAAAATCAAGCAACTATCCGAGAATAGATTTATGATCATATCTCTATAATGACTGCACGGTTGGTGCGGTGGCTAGGCATTCGTATAACGGGTCCGACCACCGTATGGAGCGACTCTTTGTGTGATCCACAAATTGTTGTCTCAGATCTAAGTAGGTGTCATGAGTATGTGGAATCGTATGTTTGTAAATGCAGCTACACAGGAGAATATTCTTGTGTGGAGCAACATTTTTCAAAAAAACTACGTTTAAAAAACCTTATTTTTAAATCAGTCGGTTAGTTAAACTACTTAAACCTTCTCCTAAGTGTAATAAACACTTATCTGAAAACCGCATCTAAATCGGTTCAGCCGATAACGAGATAAACGCTCACAAAGAAACATATAGGTCACACTGAGACCCTTTTTTATTTTCTTTTTGAAGTCAGACAAATGTGATTGTTTTCAGAGCTCCACGTTTCACTGAACTCCACATGTAGTTTTAATTTCACGTCCTGTCGATATGCCACATTGGCTGACAAGCAGTGATCCAATCAGCGTGGAGCGTTTAAAAAGTGCTCTTCAAGCCTCGGTCAATTTACGTTTTGTTCGATTCATTTTTATAGTGGTTTTCAAATACCTATCAAAACTTTGGTATCAAAACAGCTCATCAATAGTGAAAGTGTTTTATAGTATTTAAATAAATAGATGCAATGAAAATGTCAATGCCTCGTAGGCCGAGTGGTCGTAAGCGTAACTGCCAGGCAAGGGGTTTCGGGTTCGATTCCCTGGTCGGGCAAAGTACTAATGGGTTTTTATAAAAATAATTACAGTGGTAAATCGCAATAGGCTCACCCCCTATTACATGGCACTCATAACGTAAACAGTGAAAAGTGGGTGTTATAATGTATAGTGGCATTAAGTGTCGTAATGTGTACCTCTGGTTATCCCTTCGGGGATAAAGGGCGTGAGATGTTATGTTATGAAAATGTCAATTCACAAACAAAGTTCTTTCTTTTTTCAATACAATTTTACGACAATAAAAGATTTCTTCCTACGTCATGGGTGCGTACAAACAGATAATGTCCAACACACGGAATTTATGGATCACATACGTCAAGTTGTTTCCACTTTAAGATATTTAGTACTGCGCCTGTAACTAGCAGGGCGGTAAAAATCATCAGACATCTAACAAGCACGGCTCTGGTACGACTCAAACCTAGCAATGTCATACTCATTGAAATATGAACCTTAAATCGTATGTCGAATGACATATTTCTTATCGTCAATAAAAATGCTGTAAGCTCTAAGTTCCCAGGTTGTCAACGCTATAACTCATATCTACTCCCAACTTGTACAAAACTTATCGAACCCAGAATCTGTTTTTCGAATATTTTAACGTTATTCTAGGCGCACTGCCAAATTGTGTTTCTCTGGGTTTTCGTTAAAGTGGTCGTGGCTAATTTATGAATGAAAATAAATTATGTAAGTAAAGAAGTTTCCGTTTCCTATCCAAACTGGTATCAAGCAAAGTTATTACATCAGTGGCTCCAAAGTTGTCTGAACTGCGATTTATCTAAATCAAGTTACTAAACCCAGGACCTAATTTTAGTAAATTTAACCCTTCATCATCAACAGCCTATAAATGCCCACTGCTGAACAAAGCTCTTCTCACATGGAGAAGATTTGAGCATTAATCACCACTTGCTTATTGCGGGTTGGCGATTTTACTAATAATTAGAATTTCTAAATAAGTCCAGGTTTCCTCACGATGTTTTTCTTCACCGCTTGTCAGTGGTGTCTAAATAATCTTAGAAAGTACATATAACTCGGAAAAAGTCACATTGGTACTTGCCGTTGGTAGGCTTAGGGCGTCTTAACCTCCGGTCCACCAGGAAACTAAACGACTTACACTAACGACACGACTTATACTAAACCCTTACCAATATGAAAAGTAAAATATAAATCGGTATGTCAGTGTGTTGCCCACTAAAAATTCGACCCATTGTTTGGGAAACCCTGTCTCACTTTGTTTATCATTGGATAAATTTACGCAAGAGTTTTGTCTAGTTTAGTATTGAACGACAAAATGTAACAATTAAAGAATAACAAATGAGTAAACCTTCTGTTATTGATTAAATTATCTCCACTCCACACCGTTCGTTTTGTCTTCGCCAAGACGAACTCTGATGCTCCAGAGCCGAAATAAAAGTTACCCTTTCTACCTGACTATTAACTCTGGATGCTCTTTTTGAAAAAATACAGAAGTGATAATGACATTGTGAACGGGCATTAATAAATGTAGCCTTCAAAGAAAGTTTCACGTATACATATAATACAAACGTCTTTTTCAGGGCGAGAATCCGAATATACAATCTTAACATGTAATTACAATATCGCCTTTACAGTGTCAGAAAC